GTATTCCCCATTGACAAGGTTGTCAAATTGTGTCCGACCATAGGGGGCGGTGTTCATCTCCGTTACTAAGTTGAAGAGCCAGCATTGTCAGAGACTACTCTGTGATCATGTGGCCAGCATGACTGCACAGAATGCTGTTTACCTTCTCACTGAGAAATGGTACCTATTTATCTACTTGCATAGGCATGCTTTCGAACTGCTAGGTTGGCATAAGCTGGGACTAGTGACAGGAGCTCTGTTTCTTGTACTTGGCATAGTGGTTTAAGCATTAGACTATGACTCTGGAGACCAGGATTCAATTCCCAGCTCAGGCATAAACCCATTGGGTTACCTTGAGCAAGTCACATCCTCTCAGCCCCAGGTGAAGGCAATGGCAAACCACCTCTGAACAAATCTTGCCAAGAAAACCCCATGATAGGTGCACCTTAGAGTTGCCATAAGTCAGAAACAACTTGAAGGCACCCAACAACAACTTCTACCACTATCTTTTAGCTCAGTGGTGGAACTCACATGGCCTTTCAGATGTTGTTGGACTGCAACTTCTAGCATTCTTCATCACTGGATAGGCTGAATAAGGCTGATAGGATTTGCAAGCCAACAACATCTGGAGATGTGAAGTCGTAGGCTTTCATGGCTGGCATCCATAGTTTTTTGTGGGTTTTTTGGGCTGTTTGGCCATGTTCTAGAAGAGTTTCTTTCTGACGTTTCACCAGCATCTGGAGAGGCTGAGTTGAAATCACTTCAAAATCACTGAATTGATTTGCCTTGCTGAAATCAGTTTGCCACTGTGGCATGTCACTGGGCAGACTTGGTTTCCTGACAGCCAATCCCAGTTCGGGCTGACTGTGGAGGAGGGGCTGCTGGGGAAGGAGTAGATATAAAAAGAGGGAGTGGGTGACTGTGAAGGAAGAAGTTAAGTTCAGTCCAGTGGAGTTCTGCTTATGGGAGTTCAATGCAGTTGAGTGGAGAGTGTCAGTTAAGGGGGAAAGTTAAGGGAGTTTAAAGGAGTTGGAGGGGGAGGGGAAGGGAGTTGAGTTGAGAGGGGGATGCTGAGTGGGAGAGAAAGTGTGCCGGAGATTGTAGGGGGAAGCTCTGAAATGCCCAGAACTGTAATAATTATGTAATCATGTCACCTTAGAACTATTCTGCCTGAGTTACATTCTTGCTGGGTGTTGTTCAATAAAATCAATGTTTGTTGGTAGTGGCAGAAACCTCTGCCTCTATGAATTCTGAGCTATATAGGTACATGGAGGCATGCTACCAGAGATGTCAAGCTGGTAGGAGGGGGACCCTGGGCCTTGTACATTTAAGGAAGGTGGATGGTGGCTGGATGCTGGGCAGGTGTCATTGGCAAGGGGCCTTCTATGAGAGAAGAGGTGGGGTGGCCTCGAGGCATGGGTGGGAGATATAATTTGTTTAAAATTAATTTTTTTACCTGAAATTTTATTTCCTGTGCAATTTTCTGTATGGATAAGAACATTTATGTGCAAAAATGTTGTTTTCTGTTCAAAAAAGTGTGTTTTTAAATTAAGTCCCAAAAGTCAATGTGGAGGAAAATGGTAGAATCATTTCTTCTTATCTACTAGAACAGAATTTGTCATGATTTACATCTCTAAACTTCAGCCTAGTTTTTCAGGTCCTACATACCCCACTTTAAATTGTGAGCACACTTCCACTGCTAATCTTCCTGTACTGATTTCTGGCTTATTGATTTTTATTTTGTTTGCTTAACTCTGTTCTTGTATATCCAGCTAAACATCAGATTTTACATTGCCTATCTGCTAAATAATTCCTTATTTGAATTCATATAGTTACACTGTTCAGTCCCAAACAGTGCTCCTTATGTACATTTTTTACTCGTGTGTGTTCAGGTGGAAAACCTGATAACTACATCAGTGTGAATATGTGCTACTGGGACAAATCTACTAAGACACATTATTCCAAGTTCCAACTATCTCTTAAATAACATGTATCTCTGTAAAAAAAAAAAGTGTGTTGTGAACCAACGGTTATAAATTGCTTCTGCAAAATCAGTCTGCAAGTTTTCCTATGTACAATGTTTCCAATCATACAACCAAAATATGTATTTCACAGGACGGCTTTTCATGGTGTACTCCTTTAAGAACATCATGGGAAAAATATGAATACATACATCTATTCAGCTACTGCAAACACTAGGTCTTGACTAAGCTATCACAAGCACTTTCCAATTAGAACCAAATATAAAATGGTGAAATCTACAACAGACAAATATTTGCATCTTATTTGACAATATGATATTGTGCACAATGTTTATCATAACTGAATGGTGATAGCAGTGTATATGTATAAGCCACAAAATAATTACTCACTTGAAGCCTATCTCTAGGCATCTTTTCCCAGTTTCAGTTTAAAGAGTAGAATGCAAAGTATGATCAATATGCTTTGACGTAAATAAAAAGAATTTCATTGAAGCCTGCTAGAGGCAACCTAGCCTGGAGTTATTTTATCAAGCCAGGCCACAAATATGTCAAGACAGATTACTTTCCATGACAATGCACAGGGCACCGCTGAAGAAACAGCAATACAACAGCCCATACCTTTTTCTCCAATTTTGGCTAATTTCTTCCTAAATTATATCATTAAACCCTGACATATATTTTTAAAGATCACACTGAAAGGATTGTCACATGTGTTGCTCACTTGCTTTAACAAAAGCTCAAAGTTAATTACAACTAAATAAAGTGTACTATCATAATAAATATATGCACATTTGTCCACTATTATAGTAGTTTGTGATTAAGCAGATTTACCCAAAAAAGCATCCAAGTTAAATATTGGAATATGAATTCAATAAAATTAAAAACATGCTCTTAGGACTGAAACATTAAGGTGAGTAGAGATACTGTACAAGGATCAAGCTCTTCACTTTTAGTACACTGAAGGAAGAAAGCAATGTTTTCAAAGAAAATGGTAATGCATAAAAAGCATATTTACCACTAACACAACATTTAAAATTATTTGACAGATAAAGATGAACCAAATGTGATAGACAGGGTAAAAAGAAGAGATAGGAGACTTCAGGTACATGCAGAGATGCCCACCAACTGGAGTTATTTGGGAGGTTTTGTTTCCTAAATGAATTTATCTTCAGTGTGACTTAACTCCTGCCTGAAGCATACTAATTTCAAATTCAATGCTGGTTTCTTCTCAATATTAGTCTCTTAGGACATTACCACACAAAACTGCAATTAAAGTTGGAAAATAGTGGCTCTGAAAATACTTATTACACAACATCACTGCTGATGGACCTGTGAAGCATTTTTAGAGCCTCCCTTTTCATCAACACAGTTTTTTCATTACTCCACAGGTGGGATATGTTGCTTCTGCAGCAGGTCCAATATTGGCAGTTACATGGTGTCAGTGTCTCCTCCTCTCCCCATTCCCCTTCCTCCTCACTATTTCCAAGCAGGCTGTTTTCTTTTCTTTTCCTATTTCTTTTCTCTCTTTAAAAAAATTAAATCACATTAGCGTAATTCCAGAATTGCGTTAAAAATAAAATTTAAAAACTCTGAATGGCACACTGGGTAAGGCATAGGAAAGAAAGGCAGGGTTAAGGAGTGTAGAAGAGAGCATGAGGGACCATTGATGGCAAAAACAGCACCTTCACACTAATACAGAGTCATGATAACAGAATGCTCCCAAACCAATATGTTTCTGTTCTTTTTTACTAACAGGAATGCAGTGAGACTGAGGCCTGTGTGATAATGACTTTACGAACACATGGCAAGGTACCAAGCAGTCAATAGACAATGCCTCTTCAGCCCTGTTTGATACAGTTACTCTTTATCTAATCTTCATTTAAGGGAGAGCAGGCAACAGTGGCTTCTGCTTATTGCATCAGAAAAGCCAGGTTAATTAAGTCCAAAAGTCTGCTTAGATCTAGTGTTTAATCTGAAGGCAGGTATGTATTAGAGGGGTGGCTCTTTTAGGCCAGTCATCCCCAAATTTTTTCTAACTACTGCCCCTTTAACCCTTGGTCCTTATACTGGCCCCAATTCCTCTCTTTAACCCTTGGTCCTTATACTGGTCCCAATTCTTTTCCTAGTCCACTCACTTAATAAGTGACTCAGAGATGGGCTTCCAGTATTTTCTATTAAGTGTTTTAATATATTTGGTAGCATGCTTTTGATGTTGTTAGTTATAAATTACTTCAAGCCATTCCTTTGTGAAGAAGAAGTATAAGCTTTATTTACAGACAGAACTTAAGTAGTATCTTTTTACAGTTGGTTCTCAAATGTGTACATCACTTCACTTGTTACAAACTGACTTTGTTCCAGTTCCCTGACAGACTTGGTTTCCACCTGACAATGTGTTTTATTTCTCTAAATATATTCCAATAAAGCCCCTGTATCAGGAGTATAAATCCTGTGAAAGTCTGGCTCAGTGCACAAATACCATTTCCCCAGAACAAGGTGGTTATGAGCTAGCTCTTTACTTATCATAGAACATGACACACTCATCTAATTTCACTGAATTTCTTTTGTCTTTTTAAATCTTACTTCCTTACACAGGAGTCTGAATCCTGTCAAGGCTTTGTACTGAAACTTCTTCTCTGTTTAATAGTATATGACACACTCTCTGTCACTTAACTTTTTCCTTCATCTTAACTCTTTACTCCCTACACAGAAGTCTGAATTCCATTAAGGCTAGCCTCTTCACTTCTAGCTGCACTTTTAGCAGTCTTATCCTAAATAGTTTGAGGCTTTTCTTCCCTCAAAACTATTTCTCTAATCTTTGGTCCTCCAACTCACTTAAACTTCTTCACTATTAAGTGTTTTTAATGTACTCAGTGCTGTGTTTTTGATGTTGTTACTTAATAAGCACTTCCAGCCACTCCTTTGTGAACAAAATGAAAATAACTTTTATTTACAGAAAGAACTTATGATGGTCTCTTTTGGCAGTTGGTTCTCAAAGCTTGGGTTACAATGTGTGCATCACTTCTTGTTACAAATTGCCTTTTTTCAGTTCACTCAGTGAATTCAGTTACACTGTGTTTTAGCTCTTTGCACTTACCTTCCACTAAAGCTCATTCATTAGGAGTACAAATCCTATGAAACTCTCACTTTATTCAATAGTTACAATTCCATAGAATAAGGTGGATATGAGCCCTCCTTAACTGACTCTCCACTTCTACAAAAAGGTAATACCAGTTTAGACTGATTTCATATGACTTCTTTCGTCCTTTTAAAATCTTTCCTCCTTATATGGGAATCTAAATCCCATTAAGGCTAAACCCTTAGTTCCAAGTGCACTCTTGGTAGTTCTAAGACACACT